CCGGGGGAAGCGTTACGTATTTTAAAAACACATCTTTTTGAGAGCTCGGTAGTTCTCCCTCCGCCCCCAGGAGAACCATTAGGGGGAGACAATTTGCATGCAATATGTTCCATCCCCCCTGACATATCAGCTATGAAACTTCTTCGAGACTCCAGAAGAGCAAAATTCAATCGTTAGAATTGGACCTAAAAATCAAACATAAATCAAGATCCACCTCATATAGCACGAGCACAGACATACGGTGATTTCTGCAATTAGGAACTACAATTTTTTGCTCAGTTTAGAAACAACGTACGTACAATTAGTTTCCCTATACGTATGTGTTCTTGTAGATGATCCAGATATTGTGGTTCCTAATTGCAGAATGGAGTCCAGATTAAGTGTGTCTTCACAGCGTGAGTGGATATCGCACAATCTTTACGGCTCACCCCGTGAATTTAAGACATGTCTGCTCTGCGATTTTGATTCCTTGAGGTCGGGATTTCCATACGCACCTCATAATTTGATATGTTTGTCACATGGAGGGTCCCCGTCTGCAAAGGTACTTCATGTAGGTAAGTAACGCAAATTCTTGAAATGGATTGACAACTGTCCTTCATTTCCGACTAATTTTAAGACTCGCTGAGGTGACTTCAGTTACTTATTTTGATTCTAGTTTCGGGCGATTTTTTCCTCTCGGCTGATATAATAAATCCAGGGGCGGGTCACTAGGTCCGGACGGACCTACCCCCCCCCCCCCTTCCGAAAGCTACTTTAACCCCTTCTCATAAAGTGAGGGAGTTGGGCTGAGTAAATGCGTGACTTGAATTTCATTTTCGATACTGTGCTTCACGCAATTTTCCGCAATGAACAGCTCAGAATTGTTCCTGAGACGTCTCTAAGTATTTCCAAAAATTCTCCTTCCACCGGACATGAGATGCCTCCCTCTAGGTAAAACCCTCTTTCGGAACTGGGAGAGTCCCCCAGAAGTTTTAAGGTGGGGGCTTTCCCTGGGTAGGAAAACCACAGGGAAATTTCCATGGTATCAACAGACCCCTGATAAAAATAGGATACTAGGACTTATTTAGTTTTTGGACTACCGCTCTCTTTTGGTGCCATAGTATCTTGATTTATTTTGCGAGGAAAGCTCCGTGCTTTTGAAGGATGCCTGTCATTCTTAATATGTTGGAGCGACTTCAATTTCTTATGATACTCTGCAATACCTCTGGTGTGAAATAGTTTCTTCAGACGCCGTAGCACGCTGCGGCGCGGCGGGCGGGCAGAAAGCGCGAAACGCGCATTGGCGCCTACGAACCTAACAGGGATACTTCACGCATTGCGCAATGCGTGAAGTATCCCTGTTAGGTTTGTAGGCGCCAGTGCGTCGCCGCGCAATGCGTGAAGTATCCCTGTTAGGTTTGTAGGCGGAGTCAGCGTTTTTCAACTCATGATTTTGAAATGTTTGCACACTCTGTATGGACCATCTCATTTTAATTGATGAAAAAAATATGTTTTAAAGGAAAATATAATGTGTGTTTTGTAAATGTTAAGGTAGTTCCGTATCAAACTTAATGATTTCCAAAGCACACGAATTTCTACACAATTTCTGATAGCCTTTTAGGTATAGCCAATGGCGATAAAAAGTAAAGCCCGGCGATAGGAACTTCAGCCCGACTGTAAACTTTTTTATAGCTTCGTATAGCCCGGTTATATGATTTGCTCCGCTTTCTACGGCCAGCTATATGATTTTCAATTTTGAAACGCAGCGCGCTCGTATCGCCAATTTTTACCAGGGACAGCTTTTCTGAGTTATGGTGACACCCATGATCATCCAAAAATAAAAAATTCTGCCTCCTAGGTATGAAAGATGATCACAGTGTCATCGAAACTTGAGGCTTGACTTTGAAGACATCTTTCGGAATTTAAGTCTTGATTGACTTGTGTTCTTTATTCTTAGGTACCTGCCCTTCCTCAACTTTGCCCAGTTACCTTACCTGACCTGATCCAACTTCACTAAACCAAACCTTCCCTCAACTTAACTTAATGTTTCGTGATCCAAACCTATCTCCTGGACACTTATGTTTTCAGTATTTCATTTATGAGGAAGATATTTTTCTGTTTGTTGACACCAAGCTCAGGGTCAAAAGTGACTTTTCACTGCTTCAGCACGTCGACCATCGTTGACTCCACGGTCAGATTTAGAGATTATTGACACCATGCGACGTTGCCGAGTATTTTGGTTTAATCATTTCAAGCATAAGAAATGGTGAGCTGAGAGAGTTGAAATAATTCACAAGTGACCAAAAAAGTGAAGGGTACCTAAATGAAGAAGTTCAACTTAAGTACCCCAAAAACCTCCTTCCTTTTCATCTGATATCCGAAAACGGCAAAAACTCACTACTATTTTCTGCTCAGCTCAATCAGTCCACTTTCTCCACACGTTTACACCCTAGGTACCCTCATAGATGGAGAGGGGCGGGGAGAAGGGGGGGGGGGCTTTAGATAATCTCCTGAAAAGCTCTAAAATTGATCAAACTCGACCAAAATCTGTCACTTCCTGGACGAAGTAACTGCATTCCAAGATTGCAAAATTGACTCAATTCAACCTTTTTAATGCAATCCATTTAAAACGTTCCCAATCTATATGTGGACTCATTCAAAAGAAAAAATCGGTGAAATTTTCAATGAGAAACGCCCAAGAGTGTTTTTTAATAAAAATAAAATTTTGCAAGTGAAAATTCTGCATTCTTGATATTAAGTAACATACGTTCTTACACCTAAGAAATAGCGAATTGCTAAAAAAAAAAAAAAAAAAAAAAAAAAAAAAAAAAAAAAAAAAAAGTCATCTTATAAAGGGGGAGGGGGCGCTCACCACTTCTGTCCATCCGGACAGGAAGAAAAAAATGATGATTAAAAATAGAAAAATCCTCAGTTCGCTTAACTTGGGACGATAAAAACGTTCTAAGGAAGGATACGAATTCTGGCACGGACGGGTGTATTCGGCAACACCTCGGCGCTATCCTATAACTCAACAGCGTATGTGTATGTCCAGTTGAGCCCCAGGAAGCATGATGGCATATGGTCAACACGGCTCACAGGGAAATCTAGGTGCGCCTTTACGTCAAAGAAGCGACGATCATTGCGATGCGGCAGAAACTTTTTTTCGCCGCCCTCCTCAACTGTTCCGGTGGACGGGAAGGGTAGCACCTCAACCCCTACTCCTCACAAACTCCAGGAAACGCCCTGCGAGTCGCCATTCATGAAATTACGACACGCACTAAGGCAGGGCTGCCATCATTTCTTCATCTTCAAAATCCATGACTATTTTTGCTTTTTCCCCGACTCCAACATTTTCAGATTCCCTGACGATCGAATAAAACTTTCACTTTGACAGACTCACTGTTCATAAAGTGTGTAAAGCTGAGTTACGGATTTTTCGACTCCTCCACACCCTCATTCAACAGGGTAAAACGAACTGCCGTGACGCTCCCCTTACCCCCCCCTTCTTTCTCCTTAGAGGGTCACGCACTATGTGGACGGCCCCTTACAGCTATTTCCACTCCATTTTAGTTTCTATTGCTTCCGGAGAGATGATTCCAGTGACCAACTACACAGTAGAAAGCTTCGCTTGGATTGCAGCTTCAGCGGGCTACATCTGTATCCCCACACCAGGATTCCCCTTGAATTTTACAAATCCTCATCCAGGGTTCTAGGTCAAGTTGTTTTTTAAAACTGATGAGCCATGCAAAGTTTTTTGATACACGTAATGGAATTCGGCACCCTGATAATGCCGATCTAGTGATTCAAACTTTCAAACAGGTTTTTCGCAAAATAACGTTCCTTGAGCTTGAAGTGCCGCTATTCTCAGGATTCAGAATACTGGTTGGATTTTCAAAAACATTTTTTTGTTTACTCTGTTATTATTTCTGTAACAACCGAGACGAGATTCTCTGGTTATTTTTCACACAAGAAAAAGAACAGTTTGAGGGTGAAATTATTTTGGCCAAAACTCAAGAAAATTTCAGTTTTTCAAAACACAAATTCTTTCGCCCAAAGCAGGCAGAGGAGAGTCTAAAAAAAAAAAAAATAAATAAAAACAAATTTAAAAAAAAAAAAATATTTAAAATCTATCGAGTCATAAAACTTGTGACGTGTACTTTAATATCGGTAAATTTTACACTGTGAGGATAGAGACTCGTGGCTCCCCTTGAGTTAGGGGTTCAAGCTGGCAACTGTGGCTCGTTCAACCAGGCTCGAAGGGAGGCCAATCGAATCGACCCTTTAAATGGACCACATTTTGCAATTTGGACCTATAGATTCTAGCCCGGTTTAAAAACAACGTATGTGCCATTAGTTTTCCTATGCACATAAGTGTTTTTCCAGAAGAGCCAAAATTTATAGTTCCAAGTTGCAAAATGCAGTCCA